GGACAGCCTTAATGAGCACCTATTTCCCAGCTTTTGAAAGCCACTTATTTTTCCAGCTGAATATTCTTTTTTTAACCACCTCCAGAATAAACTCAAAAGCTTCCCTCTTAGGTTTCCCAATTCCAAGAGGTAGGCCTAAGTACCTGGTAGATGGATGCTTTTGAATGCCTGAGAGAAGTGAGTAGATACTAAAATGAATTGGATTAGGGGTGTTCTTGCTGAAGAAAATGGTGGACTTCTCTAAATTTACTTTATGTCCTGTGAAATTGCTGAACACTTGGAGAATATGCAGCAGCCTCTGGTATGACCCATATCAGCCTTGCAAAATATAAGAGTATCGTCTGCAAACATCAAGTGGGTTAACTTTGGGCCATCCCTGGATAATTTGATCCCTCTGAATCTCCCTTCAGTGGCCTCCATAGAGAGTTTGGCTGAAAGCAATTCTGAGATGATGAGGAATAGGTAAGGGGATAGAGGATCCCCTTGCCTAATTCCTCTAGAGGAAGTTATGAACCCACAACTCCTTCCATTGATATTAAAAGAGAATGAGGGGTTAGAAATACAGGCCATGATCTATTGCACAAAAGTTTTATGAAACCCCATTCTAAGCATAGTAAGTTGCACAACCTTCCATTCAACACAGTCAAAAGCTTTCACTACATCTAACTTTAAAGCCATAAAGCAGTTCTTCCCACTTCTATGTCTATTCAGAAAATGAAACACCTCATGCCCAATCACAACATTATCAAGCAGCTGTCTACCAGGAATAAAAGCATTTTGGTTCACAGATATACAAACATGCAAGCACGGCTTAAGTCTTAAAGATAGGATTTTAGAAATCACTTTATAGATGACAACACAAAGACTAATGAGCTTGAATTGTGTAACAAACAAAGGATTAGCACATTTGGGTATGAGAGTAATAAGTGTGTGCTTCCAGTACCTCAACATTTGTTTAGAATCAAAGTAACTTTGCACTGCAACACAGATATCTCTACTGAAAAGAGGCCAAAAATGTTGGTAGAAAAGACATGTCATGCCATCTTCTCCGGGTGCTTTATCTGGGTTAATGCTGAAAACTGCATGCTTAATGGTCTCCTCATCCACAGTGGCAGTGAGCAAAGAGTTCATCTCCTCAGTAATGGTGTTGGGGATGATAGGCAAAAGCTCATGTCCATCTTTGGATCCTTGAGAGGTGAATAGCTTGTTGTAGTAGTTTGTGATAGTTTGCTCAATCTCTTAAGGTCTGTCAGTCATCTTATTATGCTCATTCAACAGCCTCTGAGTGGAGTTAATCTTCTTCCTTTGCATCACATAGGCATGAAAAAATTTGGTGTTGTTGTCCCCTGCCTTAAACCAAAGGGCTCTTGCTTTCTGCTGCCAGAATAATTCTTCTGAGATATTAGCAGCATCTAGCTCCTGTTGAAGTTTGTCCCAAAGGTCCCAATTTCTGTTACCTCCAGCCTTCCTCATATCCTCAAGTTGCATGGTCAGTTTTCTAAACTGGGTAGCACTGTTTGAATTGAAGTATTTTCTCCAGTTGATCAGTGCTGCTCTAGTTCTTATGATTTTCTCCTTAAGGACAAAAAAATGAGTACCCTCTGCTGGTTGACCCCACACCTTCTGCACCACCTGGTTAATTCCATCCTTCTGCAACCATCTTTTGTAAAAAAGAAATCTCCTTCTATGCTTGACATTATCATCCCCATTAATAACCAGCATACAGTGATCAGATGAACTTCTAAACCAACTGTAGACCTCAGTGTTAGAGAACCTCAATTGCCACCCAAAAGAGACAAACATCCTGTCTAGAACTTCCTCCACAAATCCCTCTCCAACTCTGTTATTGGCCCAGGTAAAGTGCATACCTTTTAAAGGGATTTCTTGCACTCCCAATTGAGCCAAAAAGGTGTTAAACCCCTTCAGACTACTTATAGGTCTACTGATGCCTCCCCTTTTATCCTCTACTGCACATACATCGTTCCAATCAACTGCAATAAACCAGTCTTGACCCCACTTGGCTCTTTCTTGCAATAGATACTCCCATTGGTCAGCCCTCTCAATTTTGATAGTGCTAAGATAGAGAAAGACTGCCCAACAAACTACCCCCTGATTTGTGTCCGTGAATTGAACTGTAACAAAAATTGATCACCATAGCATTGAAGATCAGTGTTCCATAGTAGGATTAAACCACCCTTAGTGCCAACAGGATCTATGAGAAAATGCCTGTCAGCAAAGCCCAATTTAGAACAAACTTGTAGGATAAAGTTTTTGGATTTTTTGAGTTCAGAAAGAAAGAGAAAAGAGGGTTGGTGGAGCTGTAAGGCTTCCTTGATCTGGGGAACTGTAGAGGGCCCACCTAGACCTCTACAGTTCCACACCAGAGCCCTCATTTGGAACTTGAGGTCTTAAGGTTGGCCCTCAGCACCTTTTGAGTTACCAGTTTGGGTTTCTTAGGCTCTGCCTCTTTAGTGTTGTTATGAACCAACTGATCTGGTTCAGGTTCTTTAGGGTCCCTCCTCCTCTTGATTGGGGCTCGCTTGATGGTAAGTGAATCAGAATCTTTACTTCAGATGAGCCTGCCCTCGGTTTGAGTGGTTCTTTTCCAAGTCTTACTCATCCCCTCAGAGATCTTGATCCCTTTGGATACCATGTTGTGCTTCCTGGAAGGAGTGGTCTCAGGAATCTCCATATGGTCTGCAGCCTTTGAGGAGGTTAATGGGAAGGTTGCCTCCACTATATACTCTGTTCTACTCATTGAAGGGGCATCATAAATGACAATGTCCTTGTGGTGACTAACTGAGGTGCCCTCATCCTTGTTCTTGTTATTCTGAGTGCCCACAGGAGTGGAAGGGGGGGGTTCTTGTGAACTGAACCAGTAGTGAATTGAGGAGACTCAGTTGCTAATGCATCATTACTGGTCCCCTGATTGAAGTCATTGTGTTGGGGGGAGGGGGATCCTCCTTCTTGCCCGGAGGATGAATTAGAGTTGCCCCATTATTGACCTTGTAGCCCTTCTGAGGCTCTCATCCATTCCCCGTAAAGTCCTTCTCGAAGTTGGTTGTTACCCATATCTTCCATTTTGAGCTCACATCCCTTTTCCAAATGACCCACCTTAATTACCACAGTAGAAACACATATTGACAAGCCTCTCATATTTGAAGGTGACTGTAACTAGTTGAGTGCCCAGCCTTATGGTGGCACATCGGGGCAGGGATTCCTTGAGGTCTACTGTGACTAGAAGCTTGAGGAGACGCCCACCTTGATTTCCCAAATTGCAGGCCAAGACATTTGATGTGGATTTGAAAACCTTCCCTATCTTTAAGCCAACATCCGAGGTAAGCCATATGAACGGGACATTGTTAACCTGGACCCAGAGCTTCAATTCATGAAAACAATCCGAAGAACAGCGCAAGCCAGGCGACCATTTGCGTAACACTAGATATTAATTGTCAAGAATCCAATTTGTCCCCTTCTCTATCCGTTTCATATCCTCCGAGTTTTCAAATATGAATTGAAAGAAATTTGGGCCAAGTTCTCGAACCTCCATAGCTGAATTTAACTTCCAGATGGCTCACATGGCTCGCTTGATCCCAGCTAGATGTGCCTTTTTATCCCCTACAATTTTGCCAAAGAGGCTTTTATGACACTCCACAACTCCCGCTTGAACATCTTCATTGCCAAGGTCGATAACCTTGTTTTCAACAGCTGAGAGGGAGAAAACCCTCAGACAATGCTCCACTTCTTCAATAGCATTGTACCCTAACTGATCCACTATGGTGATTAGAAATTAGGGTTGCGCGAACCATTACAAGAATACAGGTCACAATAAGGAAGAAGAAGAAAAGGGATTCAAGAGAAGCACTCCTTAGAGAAGGGAAAAGAGAAGGGAAAGGGATCCCTCCGGCGAGGGAAGAGAACTCTCCGGTGAGAGAAGAGAAAACTCTCCGGCGAGAGAAAAGAAGCTCTCCTTACGAGAGAGAAAGGAAAATAAAAGAGTCCACGCCAGTTCACCGAGTTATTCTTATGCACTATATCATATTTATATATAAAATACATATAAATAAAACAATTATCCAAAAAGCATATTTGTATTGTGTTTTTCTTTGGGCTCGTATCTCCCGGTTGCGGGTTTCCTTCTCCACTTGTGGGAGTGTCCTTCTCCACTTATGGGAGTGTCCTCCTCTTGTGAGAGTGTCCTTCTCCACTTATGGGAGTGTCCTTCTCCTCTTGTGGGAGTGTCTTTCTCCACTTGTGGGAGTGTCCTTCTCCACTTGTTGGAGTGTAGTTTAGTTTTTAGTTTGGTTTTTTCTTTTTTCGTGGGTGCGTCTTTGTGGTATGTAGGCTCCTTTTGGGATGTCCTCTCATTTGGTTCGGTCTTGTGGCTGTTGGTTTCGGCTGCTATTGGTCGGACTCGTTCGTTGTAAATACGTGTTTTATCTATAAGATCCTAGCATTTGAGAAAAAAAAAAAAATATTACACCTCTTTTGTTATTATTTTTATTTTTATTTTTATTTTTATTTTTATTATTATTATTTTGACTTCTTAATTACACCGACTCAAGATGACAAATAGAGATTTAAAAGAGTGCTTAATACAAACCACGCACAATGATGAGATATTTGTGACAAAAACAGTCTGAAAGCGAATAAAAGGGGAGTGTGTAAGCAGAAAGCACGCCTACTGGAATAGCCTAGGCTGCCTAGCAGCTTATTTTCAACTAAATAAATAAATAATGGTAAATCAAATCTGTGGGACTCACTCTTCGTCCCCATCTACACTTTAAAGAATCCCATCTGTCTTCCATTACCACCCCCAATTCCTAAAATATATTGTTCGGACTATATATGTAATAAGCCCCATCTATCATCACTATTCAGTATTCATACATAAATATTATTATTATATATAAACCCCTACTTCACACACCCGCTCTCCCACAACGCCACACACACAAGCCGCCCACTAATATTACTATTCTCAAATGTCAAGTAAAAAAATGTCCCCACCACCGCCGTTCGCGGCGGCGCTAACCCTAATTCTCCTCCTTCCTGGGCCCGCCCTCTCCTGGAGGCCCTGGCCCAACGCCACCCACCCCAATTCGACTAATCTCCTCTACGGCGGCTCCAAGAGGTTCGAGGGCTCCTCCGATCTGGTCCACCTCGACTACCACATGGGCCCCGTCCTCACCTCGGAAATCACCGTGCACCCCATCTGGTACGGCGCCTGGCAGAACCGCCAGAAGCGCATCATCCGCGAATTCATCGCCTCCATCTCTCCCAGCGCCGCCTCCAAGCCCCCCTCCGTCGCCGGCTGGTGGGGAACCGTCCGCCTCTACACCGACCAGACCGGCGCCAACATCTCTCGGTCGGTCCGCCTCGGCCGGGAGAAGAGCGACCGGTTCTACTCCCACGGCCGGTCTCTCACTCGCCTGGATGTGCAGTCGGTCATCCGCTCGGCGGTCGCCGCCAGGACGCAGCCGCTCCCGATAAATCCCGGTGGGGTCTACCTGGTGCTGACGTCGGGCGACGTCTACGTGCGGGACTTCTGCACGGCCGCGTGCGGCTTCCACTACTTCACCTTCCCGTCAATCGTGGGGTACACGCTGCCGTACGCGTGGGTGGGCAATTCGGCCCGAATGTGCCCCGGCGTGTGCGCGTACCCGTTCGCTGTGCCGGAGTACATGACAGGGGTGAAGCCGGTGAGGGCGCCCAACAGCGACGTCGGAGTGGATGGGATGATAACGGTGATCGCACACGAGCTGGCGGAGCTGTCAACGAACCCGTTCATCAACGCATGGTACGCCGGGCGGGACCCGATTGCGCCGGTGGAGATCGCGGATCTGTGCGAGGGGATATACGGGTCGGGCGGGGGTGGGTCGTACACGGGACAGCTTCTGAAGGGTGAGGATGGCGCCACGTATAACATGAACGGGATCAGGCGCAGGTACCTGGTGCAGTGGGTGTGGGACCCCATACTAAGTTACTGCAGGGGACCCAATGCGCTTGATTAGTCAAAACTATTTTTTTTTTTTTTAACTTTTTACTTATTACTACTACTATTTACCTTTTGTTGGTCCGAAACGGGATTTTTTTTTTTTTTCAGTTCTCAATGAAAATACTACATATTTTATTTCGACAATTGATTTTCTTTATTATATATGATGCAGCAAATTCAGAAATTATTTTTAAATTTTTTACAGTAAATAATTGTTAATTTATTTAGCAGTTTTATATTTTTCATTAAAAATTAGTTTTTTCAATTTTCTTTTTAAAAAAAATTAAAACTTAACACGGATTGGCCCGTTTAGGCCCACTCAAAGGTGGGCCTGGAAAAGATAGCGGGCCAAGGCGAGCAGACACAGTCTGAGACTTGTTCTAATGGCTTTATAGTGATATATACTACCTCATTTTTTAAATAAATGTCGTTTTGACTTTTTTGATTCATCCATTTTACTATGTATCTAGACATATTAATGTCTAGATACATAGCAAGATGAATGAATAAAAAAAGTAAAAACGACATTTATTTAAAAAAGGAGGGAGTATAATTTTTTATTTTTATATTTTTTTAAAAAAGAAAAGAAATTAACTTTACTATAATGTTATTAGACATGCCTTTTAAGTTGTGGTCCCTCGGCGATATACATTAAAATTGGAACACCGCTAATAAGATTAGCATATACTATGCGCAAGGATGACCCACATAAATCGAGAAATGTTTAAGTTGTGGGTTATTATAATGCACAAATTTAAAATTTGATATATTGGTAATTAAATGTTTCAACCATAACCAATTATGCATAATAATTTAAAAAATGACTAATTATAAATACAAATATAAATATATTGTAATATAGAAAGAGTCGAGCTTCACTTATCATTGGCAATTTTTATTTTTTTTTATTTATGGGTGTAAAACATAAATATTTTTCTTATGTATGCAACATGAAGGTCAAATCGCATATGGTCAAAAAATATTAAATTTATTATCATATTGAAAAACAAATATTAGCAAAAAAGTTATAATAATATTATATAATTTTAAAACTTGTAACTTTTATAGACAAAAATCCATATTTATATAGAGACTCTCAATCCCAGAACTAACAAATATACTTGTTGACGAGCGATCGCCAACGACTCTTTATTATGAAACTAAGAGTGTTATAAATTTGTTTTGTGAGAGGTACCGATTGGAATTATTCTACCATGTAATGATAAAGTAGAAAAGTAAAGAGTACACACAATTTTGTCGATTTGTCGGGAGATGGCCAAGAAAATTGAAATCTTAGAAACTATAGATGACGAAAATTTGTGTCCAATCAAATTGTGCCACGTGAAAATTAATTTATTAAAAATCAAGTCATATTTTCTATTTATATTTTAGGAATTTTCATATATTTAATTCCTAAATTTAAATAGATAATCAATTGATATTTTAATATTTTAATTCTTTCTTGGTAAGTAAATCAAATCTTCTAGAATATCTTGCAATATCTAAGTAAATCTAGAAGATCTTATGTGAATCATCATGGACCAATCAAATCGCGTCCTAGATTCTTAAATTTGGTAGAGTGCTCTCTCCTACACCTCCAAATAGGAACTCTCCCTAATGTCAAAAACAGACCCCATAATTCAAATTCAAGAGCTTTAGAGAATTCTCTCTACGAGATTCAAGTGTTCTTGAAGATTCAAAGTCGTTTTTGAAGATTCGAAGGAAGATTCAAGCAAGTTCAAGTTTAAAACTGACGTTTAATCCGGAAACAAGCTGTCAAGCCTCTGAATTGCGGTCATATTCAAGTTCAAGTTCAAGATCTCTCGACGAGATTCAAGTGTTCTTGAAGATTCAAAGGCGTTCTTGAAGATTCAAAGCAAGATTCAAGCGCGTTCAACCTCAAGACTAGCGTTCAATCCGGAAACAAGCTGCGAAGCCTCCGAATAACGTTAGTAAATTCAAAACCGGCGTGAAGAAGATTCGAGATCTACTTTGCGGCGAAGACCAAGGATTCATGTTCTTCGCGTTCTTGGGATATTATGACGTTTGATCCGAGAAAAAGCTTTCAAGCCCTCGGATTACGTTAATTCAAGTCAAGGAGAAGATCAAGCCGAAGATTTCGCTCCTAGACTTAAAATATTGTTTGTGAGAAGAATTAGAGGAAAAGTAGAGATTGTAACCCGCTATATTATTTTGATTCGAGAAATTCATTTGAATAATATTTTTCGTGTTTTCAAATTCAATACACGAAATTTGTTGTTACAAACTTTTGGCACGCCCAGTGGGACCTCTCTACCATCATCTCTTCTCCAAAGTTCCTCAAGTCATCATGATTAGCCGCAAGATTGCCGTAGTCAAGATTCCTTCAACAAGTTCCTCAAGTTCCAACCTCAGCGTCGTTACAAGAAGCATGGCCAAGCAACTGCAAGCATCTCCGGAGACGGCTCCTTTGCACAAGGGATTGGAAGTGATAAGCTGCATCTTACCCACGAAGGTGATGAAGATGACTCTGCTTCTTCAACTCCTCGCTCATCATCAAGCTCTTCATCAAATTCGAGCATCGCTCCGGCTATGACAACCAATGCTTCAACTCTTGAAGAGCACATCGCAAGATTAACGAAGTTTATTGAAGAGCTAGCGAAGAAGGTCAATGAGCAAGACTCTCAAATCTCAAAGCTAATGGACAAGGTCGACAATGCTGAAACAAGCCACGCGAAGGGAAAACGAACTGAAGATCGTGAAGAGTCCGAAACATCCATGCAAGATCAATTTGACGAAAGAGAGAAGACTCCAATATTCCAACATTCATCCACGGGAATGATCCCCATTGATCAACTGAAGGATTTCATCATGGGAACAATTAAGGATAAACTTGATGGTGGTTCCAAGTCAACCCACAACTACGTTAAGTCATATTCACCAAGGATCGATAACTTGAGGATGCCTTGTAACGCCCCGTTCGTTTATGAATAATTTGGATTATTATTATTATTATTATTATTATTATTATTATTATTATTATTATTATTATTATTATTATTATTATTATTATTATTATTATTATTATTATTATTATTATCTGTCGTTATTATTATTGATTGTTAATCGTCTAAATGCTTAAATAATTTTTATGTGCCTAATTTTGTTTATTATATATATATTATTTTCGGTATTTTTATATTAAATATTAATTTAAATATTTTAATTATTATTTTATTCTCGTCCGAGCATGTTCGAGCCGAAGCCGCGCATCCGTGAGCCGCGCGCACCCCTCCCTCCTTCCTTTTGTGTGGTGGTGTTAATTAGGGCAAGTGACTTGTATGGTAAGT